CTTTCATGATCGGAGACAAATGTGCAACAATCTCACTATGCGATGGAAAGCATTAAAGTCCATCCTAGAGAAGCGCTTTGTTAGAGGATTGTCTAACATAGGTTAAGCGCATCTTTGCATGTGAAGGTCTTGAGAAGCTTCACAATAACAATCCCTCATGTATGGCTATCTTTAGAGTCTTGTAGGCTGTCCCATGGTTTTTGATTAAACACCAAGTCACCATTAGGTTTAGTTGCTTAGTGTAGGTGTATGTAAACCCTAACAAATACCCTCTCTTACTTGTTCCATTTTGGTCTGTTTAATGTATCATTGGAAGCATTTTTATTAGAGATGTTCAGACACCAGTGCCAATACTTGGCATTTTCATGAGAACTACCAAGGTCACAGCGGTTGCAACTGGGACCTGGCTCTGGCGCTCCACCACTGTCCTGAAATCATTAGTCTGTATTGTTTTAGAAAAACTGTCACATGACAAACAAAAATGTATCAGTACTTGTATCTGTGAGTACTTGGACAAGTATCAGCACTTGGTCTGGAGAAAAAAAAAAAAAGCACAGGGAACGAAGAAAGGTATTGGTGCATCCCTAATTAATTCCCCCTCTCCCCCCTGCTTACCAGCAGTAGATATATGCAAAAATAAAGCAGAGTTTGATTCTACATTAACACTCTATGCAATGTTAATGATGAAGATTATTCAAGATGTGTTTATGCAAACTATGAGAAGACGACTTCACCCAAAAAAAAATACCTCTATAGTAAAAGAAGATAGCAGATGTTACATTTGTGGACCAAACAAGTAATTTTAGGTTGATATATTTTCATAGCTAGCCGCTTTTAAAGTGTAAGTCTGGTCATAATAATTCAGTACATCTCTGCAATACATGCACATTTCCCTATGTTTTGTCTCTTCAAAATTGCTGCAAGGATAGAAAAATACCAGGTCAGCTAAATCCAGTGTTCTGCTAACTTCCTGATTTTATTGATAGCTCCAGTCTTGGTAAATTCCCCTGTATGCTGACAAAATCTGGGAGCAGCTGTACATGGCAACCAATCCGCTTCTATCTTTCCTTCTCAAAGCTTAACTGAGCAAGCTGTAGCGAGAAGCTGATTGGTTACTGTTCAAAGCTGCTCCAGTTTTAATACATTCCCCCAGTTTCTCTGCTGCACTAAAATCCCAAGCTTGGTCAGTCCTGCACAATACTCTGACAACTACAAAAAACCTCCCCCCTCGTCGCATCTCCATAACAGAAGATAAGAGGTATTTTGTAGACCAGCAGATAATCCAAGTCTCCTCCTGGAACAAAACCAATAAGCCTTCTTGTTATTGGTCAAAAATTGCAGTAGATAGCACCCGTCACTTCACATTGCTGACTGGCCATTAGAACTCCCTCCATAAAAAAAAAAAAAAAAAAAAAAAGGTATAGACATTTCATTAGCTTGCTCATCAAAAGGTAACCTGTACCAACAAATATGGTGGTTGCCATTAATGACACACTTCTGAAAATGCTAGTTGCCTGTCCAGGATTTCCTGAGTCACTGAGGAAGAGTGAGATCAGCCTTTAACATCACCTAGCCCAGGGGTAGGCAACCTTGGCTCTTCAGCTGTGCTGAAACTACAAATCCCATAAGGCATTGCAAGCCACAGGATGGGATTTGTAGCTTCAGCACAGTTGGAGAACCAAGGTTGCCTAACCCTGACCTAGCCTAAAGTAGGCTATACATGGTTAGAATTTCAAACAAAGTAAAAAAGCGATTTTGGAAGGTTTGACTTTCTAATCGTTGATTGGGTCAAACTGATGGTCGATTTAGACCGCAGTGATAAAAAAATTCGAAGGAGCATGTTGGAAAATTTCTCAAAAACGAAATTCTAACATGTGAATGTGGTTTTCATTCTGGAAACTCCATTCATTCCAAAATTGAATGTTAAATGAAGACAAAAATCAGACGAAATTTCGAGTGACAAAACATTATTGAACGTTCGACAGGATTTTTCAATTGAGCGTTTGTTTGGAAAGCTACCCGTGTATACCCTACTTAAGTCAATTAACTTCCGAGAATATAGTTTGTTTAAATCCCAGGTGGCAGGAAGCTCCAGAGCAGAGTATTTTATACTATTACACAAGCTTTAAAGGCTTCTTCTCCCCAACTAGGGGCTGTTGGTGCACGCAGCTCCTCTTGGACCCTTTTTCATTCCTGCAGCTTAAATGCAACAGAATACCGTGGCTGGAATAACAAAGTTTGGTTCCTGGTCAAACCATACCTTTAGTTTTTCCTAGAAGAGTGCTAAAATGTTGGCAATAAAATGTAAGGTGTCAGAAATGGGTGGCCTTTACCAATGGCAACTGGGTGGGACATACAACACTCAGTACAGTAACCAGGTAAGCCAGACCACACATATGAAGCTGAACACAAATACTGCCACAACATCAGTGTATTAAGAAGGAACATGCATTTCCACTATTGAAAAAAATTGATTCAGATTATCAAACCACAAGACAGACAACAGAGCACTTACAGTTCATAAGATAATTTTTTGGTCTGACTTTCCTCTAGTTCCTCTAATTCCACCTTAGACTCTTCCAGACTGAGACCTGTAAAAACAAACAAAAAAAAAAACAAAAAAAGCAAACCTGGCAACCCCCTCCCCAGTTCTAATGATATGCTCTGAACATATAGCCTAACACGTTTGCAAACAAGCAATTACTGCTGCCAACCTATAGACTGGCTTAAATTTCGGCAGGGAGGAGGCGAGCAGGCAGATCCCTGGTGATCTAGTGTGATTAGTAAGGTCAGCAGACCAGTGAAGAGCTCCGGCCGAATGGAAGGGAAACAGCTCAGCAGGAGCAGCTGCTCCCACGAGTCAGGTACGCGGTCTGAGACCGCAAGCCTGACAGGAATTTCCACTCGCCTGCACTGCATTTCCATTCGCCAAATGCGAGCAGGCGAGTGGAAATTTTAAACCCTGCTCCACAGCGTGCACTGATGCATCATAAACAAAATTATTGGACGGTGATCAACACATTGCACAGAGGTGAACTAGCATCATTCGAAACATGGCCAACATGTATACATGCATTAGTATGTACAGATTATTATTATAATACAGAATTTATATAGCGCCAACAGTTTGCGCAGCGCTTTAAAGATCTAAATGGGCCGTTAAAATAGAACTAAACACAAAACAGTTTTCTTAGATATATGGAGGAGTGGTGATGGGATAAAAATTTTTGGGAGAAAGGGAAAAAAAAAAAAAAAAAAAAAAAAAAGAAGGGGAGGAAATACAGGATTAATACATTAATGTAACATTATAGTTGCTAAGACTATAAAACCATAATGTATATACACCTATATTTTGATAATTATTCATGCAAACAAATGCTTCACGTACTTTGTAGCGACTGTATGATGTTGTCCTTATTGGTCAGGTTGTTCAATAAGCTTTCCTGTGAAAAAGAAAAGCATTAGTATTATTAAAATAAATAAATTATAATTAATAATAAATACTTAAGGAAACGATAAAAACAAAGGGAACCCATCTCAGAAGCCTTTGGTGGAAGTCATCATCCCTAAATTCATGAATAGCATACTAGTCCCAGACCAATAACAGCTTCACTATTAAAGCCAGACGGAAACATTTTAAAAAGTGACATTAAACTCAGAAATAAAACCTTACAAATGCATTCAAGTACCTCAACTATTCACAAAAATGTATCTTATTTGTGTATTACTCGGCTGTAGATCCTCAAATCATCTCTGAATTGGTGCTGACACTGTCCTTCCTTCTGGGGGGTGGCTACTTTTACTCCATGGTCCCTGTGTGTTGTAAAGTAGCCACCGCTCCAAGCTTGCTCCCGGGATGGACTACAATCTCATGTTTAATTTACCAAATTTGAATTGGGGTTGTAGTCAATCACAGGAGTGAGCTTCGAGCGGTGACTACTTTACAACACACACAGTAACCACCCTCCAGAAGGAAGGACAGTGTCAGCACCAACTTTGAGATGATTTGAGGATCTACGGCTGAGTGATACACAAATAATCTACATTTTTGTCATTTGTTAAGTTACTTGAATGCATTTTAAAATGTAACTCCTGAGTTTAGGGTCACCTTAACAAATTTAAAGAGCATCAACACGCATGCACCCATAAGCTAGGGAAGGGACATTTCCATTAGAAGCTTCGGAGTCAGAATGAACCATACAGGTGAAACTCGAATAATTAGAATATCGTGCAAAAGTAATGGCAGTAAGTGCTGCAAAGGGGCCCAAACCAAGTACTGAGTACATATGCATGCTTATCAGAGGTCCGATATTGTTCTATGTACAATCCTTGTTTTATTGATTGCATGTAATAATCTACTTTTTTGAGGTTGTGGATTTGGGGTTCTTGGGGTTTTCATGAGCTGTAAGCCATAATCATCACAATTATGACAAATCACGGCTTGAATTATCTTGCTTTGCATGTAATGAGTCTATCGCATATATTAGTTTCACCTTTTAAGTTGCATTAGTGAAATAAATGAACTTTGCACGATATTCTAATTATTCGAGTTTCACCTGTAATTATGGACTGTAAAACGACTGAAGAAGTTACAATATTTCTAAAGCGAGACAGAATGCTAATGCCAAACTTCAACAAGAACGGTCTAGGACCAGGCTTATGCTGTCATATTATAGAACATAATGTGATGATTGTAAATGTTGCAATCATTTAGAGCACAGGTTAACCATTCTGGTAACTGAAGTAATAATAGAGCTAACACAGAGTGTAGAACTGGCTGCTATAATCATGCGGCTTGCTGGAAACTATTCTGTCAGTTGAGTACATGACCGTGTCAGAAATAAATATATAGTATTCATGGTTGCATTAGGTGGTTGTTTAGAGAAAAGGCAATTATGGAACTTTAGGTTGGTTCCACTGAAAGTGGCAAGTGTGCATGCAAGTGTTGCTCTTGGTTTCCCCACACAGAAAAGTGAATTGGCATTGGAGCACTCAAAAATGTTATCAGATAAGCACTTCAGACTATCTGTGCAGTTCTTCAATCCCTACATGCAAGCAATGCTTAGACCTCTCTAGGATTATCTAGAATGGAGAAGGCGCAATACCTCTCTCGGTTGTTCTACTGATGCCTGTATCCTCACAGGGGAGAACAGTTTACGGTTGTCACCAGTTCAAAGGTACAGGGAATATCAGGTCTAATGTAGAACGGTTTTACCATGTGCAATTGATGGGCAAAGCCATGAACAAGCACAAGACATGCCCACTGATGTGCTAGAAAAGTCAGACGGCGGTATATGTTCCAAAATTACAAAAGAAAATCAGAACACCCAAGTACACTTAGAAAGTCAATCAGGTCATTTCATTATTGAAGTGATTGCATAATGTAAGGCGAACGGCTCCATAACTAGTCCACTTCCTTGTGTTTACTTCATACCTTTCCATGTGTCACAGCAGTTACATAGTTGACATTAGTAAAGCTAGGTTGCTTTCCTTGGTCACGCTTACTATGCCGTTTCCTATGATCACACATGTCTATGTGCAGGGTTGAATACATTTTGCATTAAAAGAAGAATCATTTCTTATTCCTTTAATCCACCAGGTATATGAAGAAAAAAAAAGGTAAACCAGTAATAAAATGTTTTCAGTCTCACCCTGAAAATCAATCATAGACCAAGGCGCGTAGCAATTACCTGTTATCTTATGTTACAATAGTAACTTAACATAAGATAATACTTTATCTTATGTTACGGTTGTAACAGCAGAAGTATGCGATTAGGTGCACCCGGGCTGTTACATGCCACTAAGATGCTTTAATTTACTATTAAGTTACTTAAGGAATTGCTTCAAACTGCTTCTAGTTGCTTTCTGCAATTCGCATAGACTTGTATAAAAATGGAGAAAAAAAAATCAGCTCAGATGCAAACAGAAGACGACGTCTGCAAGTTCATTGAGCCCATATGCCATTATAATATACTATTTATTTTGCATCGCAATACAGAAAACGGTCTAAAGCACTATAAAACGTGGAGTTACATTTCCCTTACTGTAATACTACAGACTTTCAACAGGATGGCAGTTAAACTGTTGTGTATTGGGGGGGTGCTGGCTCTAGCAATACAGCAAGTTATAAAAACTAACAATTTAACAAGTTCAATTACACAGTTAGTTACTTTTTTATAACTTAGACATATTTAAAAATTCCAAAGTATAATATCTACTTCTGTTGCTGTGTAACAAAATTGCATTCATCCGTAAAAACTCCCACTAAGGGTTGAAATATGATTCTACACTTGAACAAACTGTACTGAGAGATGGGAAATGGAGAACAATTAAAGGCCATGTCCAGCAAAAAAATATCAAGTAGCAAAGTCCCAGGTTCCCTAGCTATAAATGAGCAGTTGATCCTTGCAATGCAGGGGTAGCCCCACTGCAAGGGGAACTTCCCCCAGAGCTAGGCTTTAACATCTGATTCAGCTGAATCCTTCACTTGTTTCATCTACAGATGTTGACAAATTTGTTGGTACCCTTTTAGCATGTGTACATGCCCGCATATGGTATGTCACAGTAAAGCAATGCAAGCATTACGATACATTATTGCTTATTCTACAAAGATATTCTAAAATGGCCTGGACAGATTTGTTGGCACCCCTATAAAAGCTTGTAAATAATTGGATCTTAGGGATATTTGAAACTAACGGTTTTCTGTCATTAGCATCACATGTCTTCAATGTTGTAATTGGTTAGTCAGTCTTTTAAAAAAGGAGAAAAAGAGTTTGGCATCATCATGAAAGGCTGCGGAAAGCAAAGAGAGTGGTCTGAGGAGATCAGAAAATTTTAGACCAGCATGTTAAAAAGGTAAAGGCAATAAGACCAGCTCCAAGTAGCTTTATATTCCAGTGACTACAGTTGGAAATATTATTAATCAGTTTAAGTTCCATGAGAGTGTAGCCAACCTCTCTGGACATGACCGCAAGAGCAAAAAAATCGACTCCAGATTGAACAGGATAGTGGGTATGGGAGACACAAATCCAAGAAAAACTTCCCAGAGAGAAGCAAGCTGAACTCCAAGGTCAAGGTACATTAGTGCCTGATTGCGCCATTCGTCACTTATTGAGCCACAATGGGCTCAAAAAGGAAGAAGACCCAGGAGGAAGCCATTGTTGAAAGAAAAACAAACAAGGTAGACTGGAATTTGCTACAATGCATGTGGGAGAATGTCCTTTGGACAGATGAGACAAAACTGGAGCTTTGTGGCCAGACCCATTAGCTCCAAGTTCACAGATGAAATAAATGAGGCCCTCAAAGAAAAGAACACCATACCTACTAAGAAACATGCAGGAGGCTCAGGTCTGTTTTGGGGCTGCTGTGCTGCATCTGGCACATGGTGTCTTGAATCTTTGCACGGCACAGCCATACATTTTAAGGCCATCAAGAAATTCTGGAGCAAAACATACTGCCCAGTGTGTCAGAAAAACACTGTCTCCAATAGAATAATGACCCAAAACAGGAGCTAAAAACACCCAAAAATGGCTAAAAACATTGGACTATTTTGACATGTCCTTCTATGAGCCCTGATCTGAATCCTATGGAAAGAGCTGAACACATGCAGTCTGAAGACACCCTTCAAACCAGCTGGAGCAGTTTATTCAAGAAGAGGAGGGGAAAAAAACTACCTGTTGGCAGGTGAAGAAAACTCAATTGTGAGCTACAGAAATCGCTTTTTTGCAGTAATTGCCTATAAAAAGGTTGTGCAAAATGTTAAGCTGCGCATACACCTTGCGATCATCAGACAAAACTTTTCGCCCGATGATCGAACCGTCGTATGATTTTCGTATGGCATCCCCATCCTGCCCTCGATTATCACAAGGTTGAATCAGCAGTAATTAACAGAAAAGCACCTGGACGAATTGCGGTAATCGTCCGCACGTATTTTCATCTGCGCATGTTCAGCGGAAATCGTACAATCGACCGAAGTTTTCTAACCTGCTGGATAGTCAAGTCGATCAATTGTACAGTATTTTCGGTTGTACACTGCCCATCAACCTTACGAATATCGGACGAAAAGGCGATTGCATACGAAAATCGCCCGATATTCGTAAGGTGTATGGGAGCTTTAGGGTTATGGGTCTCATCGCTTTTGCGCATGCTATTCATTTGCTTTTGATTCAACACAATATTTTAAACAAAAAACAAAACTTTTTTTTAAAAATTAAATATCCAATGAACGATGTTTGCAATTGCTTTAGTCAGTTTCAAATTATTTCAGAGAAAACTGAGGGTTTTTTTCGTTAAAGGGTCCCAAAAATGTGTTTACATCTGTCCTTTTGGCTATGCCCCAAACGAAGTCTCCCACCCTCCACTACATTCTCCTTAAAAGGATGACTACAGTTTAAAACATAGAGACAGGCAAACTTATATTTGTATAGCTATGGTGTTAAAACACTGTCATCTCATGTCAAGGCCAGTGTAAAGATTACTTTGTTTATATTCAGCATGTCTGCTGTCTTCACCATGTTCACCGATCTGCAGTCTGCACCATGAATTGTAGAGGCGTAGCCTTCAGAAGAGGACTAAACAAGGAAGCATTCTCTCTAGATTTAATCACACTTTTCACGTTGGATGTCTGGGCATACGTGTAATTGGGGGACTGGGAAAACTAATGCAGGGGTGATTTTGTTCTTTTGCGGTTTTTTATGTTTCTTTATTGATTATCTGACTTCCACAGAGTACAGAAAGCCTCATGTATTGCACTGAGAACATTAAGTCAAACAGGTAAACCGTTCTCTACACTAGGGACATGCGGTGAGGTCCATGGCAGGTGAAGCACCCCCGGCCTGCCCCCGTCACCAAGCTATGTGTGGAGGAGGGAGAGAGAGGAAATGGGGAGAAACCTCCCTGTCCCTCACTTGCTCATCAGAGATGGGGCATCACAGATGGGGCATCACAGATGGGGCATCACAGATGGGGCATCACAGATGGGGCATCACAGATGGGGCATCACAGATGGATGCCGTCAGCGTTTTTTCTTTTGTTGAATTGGACGGCTCTACCTCACCTGCCTCCCCAGACCGCACAACCCTGCTCTATACTGTACTGCTGTGCAGCGTCATTGCATACAGGTACAAAGTAAACAAAACATTGTAGTCACAGAGCTGAAATGGTTATGACAGTTCTTGTAGAAAGCAGGTAAAAGGTCATATTTGCAAAGTTGCTTGCTGTCCCTGGATATATTGAAAGGTTACTGTGTTATAGTCAAGTGCATATATGCTTCAATGTAAACCAAATAAAATAATAGATCTAGATATATCTAGAGTGTATACACACACACACT